CATTTGATTTGTAATGTTAAAAGTAACGCATTCGTGCCAAATAATTGTTAGCTTTAATTTGACTTATCAATCCAAAATAAGTTCGAATTCTTTCAACCGATTCATTATTCATCTTTTCGTAGTATTATGATGATTAATAGCAAACAAAAACAATAATGGTCTACAACGTACGCAGCTGTCATACTATATTTTAAGTCGCTCAGGGAAACAAAATGCAATTTCAGACAACACCCAATATCTTACGTATTTTCATATTTGCTGACCGCTGTGAAAACAAACGCAATTATTTTAAATTTTCTTTGCTCATTGTGACAAGCTTATAATTCTGAAATCTCTATAAGCAACAGACTATAAATATATATATATATGACTAGCCGAGTCCGGTGCGCCTCGCTGCCCCTTTTATGCATTCAAAATTTTGAGTTCTAGTTTATTCTAGTATTCAGGTTCATGTTTTCCTATAGCGCACATATAACGATACCCACCGATATTCAGTATTATGATAATCCTAATCACATTTGGTGTTTAAGAAGATTTGGTAGATGACAATCCTTGAAGTATAATTTACAATAGAGGTTCCCGTTTTGGTATGGCCCCATATAACGGCGTCACTTACTCTATGGGCTTTTGAAGAATTAAATTTAACTAAAATTCTTTTGGAAAATCTTTTAAATCTTACAACCGCACTTATAAACATTTTCATCTCTCTCCACTTGTTATGCTTTTGTTTTACTTGAACGAAATAACATAACCATATAAGTTGGTTTTTTCTCTAACAAAAAAACTCCATGTGTCGACAGGGCTTATTGAATTGAACTGACGATCTCGTCACTTGGGTAAAAAAAAGTTTTTTTGTTGTCATAGGAGTTATTTTTAAAATAACTTTTGGAGAGAATATCCCAGACAAAAACCAAGGAAACTAGTGAGGATTGGTGGCTCGAAACCTGGATATTCCCTTCCTAACCCTCTTGTAAGCATTGTCATCTTTCTCCTCTAATAAATAAATGTAGTTTTTATAATAAAAACAAAAACTAATGGGATTAAGCCTGACTATTTTGCAACAACAAAATTCTCTAGCGATTTTGGAAGGTTGAATTGTCAAATTTCAAGTTGTACAGAATGTTTAATATTTCTCTACTATTGTATACCACCGTACAAAGGTGCATTCCGGTTTAAATATTTTGAAACTTTTACATATGTTTATACCCTACAATATCCTATCTCGCCGAGCTGAGTCGATCTAGCTATGTATGTCCGTCCGTCCGTCTGACCATGTTAATTTGTAATCACTCTACAGGTCGCAATAATGATCCGATCCTCACGAAATTGAAAATAAAGGTGGGATTAGGGTCAGAATAGAACCCTATTGTTTTTGGAGATGATCGCACGATATTTAGGGGTTGATATGGACCAAAAACAGAAACATTTACTGATTTGCAGTTGCTCTATAGGCGAAAATTTACACGCAGTTAGAGTTTGGGTCTGGACAGAAACCTACCAATTTGAGCGGCCATCGGACAATAATTAGCGGGTAAAAAATACCCTAACTTTTATGTTAGAAAATAGGAAAAATTTCCACTAAACCGCAAATATTTTTAATCCTAACCAAGTCACAAATACATTAAAAGATCACTTCAGACCATTACAGTGATGCTAATAGCCAAGAAATCGGATATATAGCAAAATAGGTACAATACATATGTAAAAGAATTGATCTTATTTATTCTGCTTATAAATCAAGAACCGCTGGACCGATTTTCACAGTTCCAATCAATTCGGAATGGTCTTTTTTTTCTAATATTGTAGTAGTAATTGATAGCTAATCGACACGGAATTCCGCATCGGAAGAGAGTTGAGCACAGGGAAGAAGTTTAGCATTTTGGATGACCATTGGATTATATTTAGCTGTAAAATGGGCCACAACTTTCGTGTGCAATTGTTTTGAATACTTCACAACACTACGGAGTGCGTAAATATTGGCCAAATTCTCCGGGTCAAAAACTTAAGGGTATCTTCTAGGCAGTGCTCTTTGGCATTCTTTCAAAAACGAAATCTTCCAAAATGGATTTGGATATAAGGGGACTTCGAACATATTGTAGTGTGTAGGGTATCACATGGTCGGCCCCGCGCGTCTATAGCCTTTGCTCACTTGTTTTAATTAAAATTGTGACTTCTTTGGCTAATAGTATTTTTTTTTAAATTTGAGAATCCTTTCTATCAATATATGAAAGTCAGCACTTTAAAACAAAAATTGAATCAAGTTTTTGCTACAGATTTAATGGTTGACTGACAAAATTGGGAGATATTTTTAAGTACCATTAAGTTGAATGATACATTTTGTAACAATTACGTTTACTGGTATGTTTATAAAGACTCGTGTTACAAAATTGACCAAAATAGAAAATATGCTTCATTGTATATAGTTCACTTCTCCCTCAGAAGCAATAAAATTGGCATACAATATTTCAGCCAGAATCTTTTTAATTATTTATGGTTTTTTTAAGATTTAGTGAACCAGTTACACCATTAGAAAAAAGCCAGGATTGTATTAGTGCATATTAATATAAAAATGCTTAAGGATGCTCTGTTGTGGAAAATAAATTTTAATGCTCACAATTCTTAATCGATTGTAGTAAAATCTTCCACTGTGTATTTTAAGTGCCCAGAGAACCTCTCTGCCAAAAATTATCGACATAGGTTTACGTTCGAATTTATTGACCAAGGGTACTCCGCAACTTTTATTATTTTGAAAAAATAATCAATGTTCAATTTAATTTGACGGGGTTACGAAAATTCTTGTTAAAACACTTCTGAATTAATATTTTGTGAATATTTATTAAACGCAATAGTTTTTCAATACTAAACCAATAAGGACAAGTCAAAAGTCGGGCGGGCCGACTATATGATACCCTACACCACTATGCATATTTTGTAGAGTTCCCGTAACAAAACAATTTATTTGAAGTAGAACATACCATCTATCAACATTTGGCTTTAGAGCAGTCTTAATTTGGTTTGAGAGGAACGACATCCAAATCTAAGCAGATCTCGATAGAATTTGGCAAAGGTATTTCCAAGCTCTTAAGATACCAGGTATCAAATATCATTGTTGTCAAATGCATATTACTAATATGAGGGACTTAAACGCCAAATCGGATGAAACAAATATATGGCAGCTATATCTAAATTTTAACTGATTTTCACCAAATTTGAAGTATTTGCTTCTAAACAGAATTCCGTCGGATGTAGCAAATTCCAGGACTTTTGGACAGATTTGGCCATTTGGCGCACTATTAGCCCGAAATCGCTTGAAGATATACATATATGGGAGCTATATCTAAATGTGAACCGATCTTGATAAAATTTGGCAGATGTATTTTTGGGCTGTATCTGACGTCTGATATCAAACATCATTCTTGTGGTAGCGAATGTGGGGCAATTAAGCACCAAATCGGATGAAAAATATATATGGGAGCTAAAGCTATATCTGAACGGATATTCACAAAATTTAATATACTTGCTTCTAGACTGAATTCGGTTAGATGTGCCAAAATTCACGTCATTTGGACTTATATTGGCCATTTGGTGCAAATCGGTTAAAGATATATATGGGAGCTATATCTAAATTTGAACCGATTCTCACCAATTTCAGTAGGATTCGTCCTTGGGCTTAACCAATATTGGTTGAAAAATTCCATCTCAATCGGATAATAAATGCGATCTGCATTTTGTTCACGAGAATGCATGGACAGACGGGCGGATAAAGACTGAAGTGCATAAATCTACTCAGAAAGTGATTCTATAAAGATCTTTAAAAAATAACTATACCCCTTCTTTCTTCATGTTACAATCAAATGCACAAAGACATAATACACTTACAACTAAGTGGCGTATGGTATAAAGAACATGGAAATGGTTTTGGCAAAAAATTTGCACCAAGCTGTTATGTACATCTCCACCAGACGAGCAAAATCACATTGTTCAGATAGCTATGAATTTAATTCAATTCATGCCATATATTTTATTGGATAATATTAACTTGGACGTGATCATTCGTGCCGTATTAAGTAATTTGCAATTTTCGGGAATTAATCTAATTATACTTATCTGCAGAATGACCAATTGTGCAGTGACACTTAATGCCACCAAAAGAATGAAATTCTAGCAAAACTTTGCCATTGAAAATTTGAAACATTGGACAAGGCAGAAACATTACCTCAAGCAACAGTTATTCATAAATTGTTGTTTTAATTTTGCTGCAAATAAAAAATAATTTTCAACATAATCTTATCGCTTTTAAAAAGTGAAGTAAAGGGAAAGGGCTTTATTCTTGGATGATAACATTTGTTTTGATGTCGATATAATGTTTAGCAGACTTCCAAAAAAATTCTGATAATTCCTCAAAATTGTTTACAAGGTTATGGAAGTGGTGACCCATTCATTATCACAAAAATATTTATTTAAGATTTACACCTCATTGTAATTGAAACTCAGCACCGATCGATGAGTGTGTAAACAGTTAATGTAGTGGTTTAAAATCGATTTAAATTGTACATTGGTATCCAGCAATTCAGAACAGACATTCGAAATGTTCAATATATTTTAATGGAGCAGAGCTATCCAGGTATGGACAAATTTGTTTTTGGAAAGCTAGTATTTGTTAAATAAATATTGACTTCATTTGTGAGTATTTGCCAACATTATCGCAAACATACGTACAAACATTTGTTATCGTAAACAACACACACACAAACACTTATACGCGTACATATCAAGAGATAAAGAAGTGGAGATATGCAAGCCTTAGTATGACTTCATTCTACCGATACTAACTGTATTTTTTCCAACAAAAGCGGACAACGATTCCGATGATATTGATGACAAACCTTGCAAATTCATTGAGCTGTTATGAATCATTTCGATTTCGAAAATTCCACTTTACAAATGTTGACGAATCGCTAGGACATATCAATTGTCCGACTCTGAATGCAGTTACTCACCCCAAGGGTCTCAGATTAAGAGCAAATCCAAAATACGACGACTGATATTTCGGCATATCCGTGACGAAGCCAGGATCTTTGACGACAATATTCGGTTTCGGTGATATATTGAAACAATTGACGTGAGTTGTTAACAATAATAACATGAGGATGCCAATGTTTGGCCACATTAACTTGTGTGGCAGCATCGTGTTTGAATTGGAATGCCGTTTGACGCGCACTCAACACTTTCGATACCCGTTCGACTAACTATTTTGCACAAACGTTTGTGTTTGTGTGATTTCAATTGAAGGCAATGCGACTCTCAAGATATTTAAAGGCGTTCTTGACAACCTAGCGCGTTGTTGTCATAAATCGTACTGAAAATTCTATTCCGACAGCGATACAATGAAAGTTAACTGTGAATTGCGCTCACCGTACAATCTATTATCGGTCGAATGGAGTCTCTCCGGAACCGTACAATCTATCCAAAAGTACAGTTGAAGATAATATAATGAGAAAATTAACTACTTAGCCGGTAAAGAGTTAAATGTGTGCTCAATGCACTCTTTGCTCTCTGTTAACTGTTTTCAAAAAATATTTTAAAAAAATGAGAAGAACAAAACAAAACAAAAACATTGCCAAAACAGTAAGCTGTTATTACAACTTTACAATATTCCTCCGACCTCCCCTTGCTCAATTATGTCACGTTAATAATTATAATACCGATTGCACCTTTGTATCATCTTCAAATTTGGTTATGTGTTGTTGTCTTCTTTGTCTGAGATTTCAGATTTTTAGCCAGTGTCAGCTTTTGTGTCAATTATTGTCTTGCTTTCCGCAAATTTCTTATGAGTTGAACGCGAATTAATTCTGATCACGTTTAGCTTACTTCGGTTTGTATTGGAGGGAAATATAAACAATTCAACGCATTGTTATCAAATTGTATCGGAATTATGAATGAATCACCAAATTACATATGTATGCGTGTACATGTGTACGAGTAAGTGCCTGTAATGCAATATCAGATGAGCATATAATATTGTAAAATTGCTTAAAACTATCTGCAATTGGGTTTTAATTTAAAAAGAGTTTGTGCTAAATACATATAACTATTTTCCAGATTTTTCTTAATTTAACAGGAAAGCCTTCGTCAATATATTTGGATCTGAAGTTTGGCAAGATTTAAACCCCTTTTGGAGGCATGATCCTTTGTCATAATAAGCCTTCGTAATTGTCGAGAACACCCAGAAAATGAACAGTCACAAACCGTATAACTCATAAAAAGCAAAAAAGCAGTAAGTTCGATCGTGCCGAAATTTCAATACCCTCCACCATTTGTAACGAATTTGGAAATTTTCAAAAAAAAATTAAAATGTTTAAAATACCGAATATATTCCTTATATAGGGTCTATACGCAGGTCCACCTGTATAGGCAACTTTTGCCATAAGCCATTACGAAATCAAATACTAAACTTAAGAAAAATCCGGTGAATAATGTTGATAAAATCATCAAAATACCGAATGTAGGGAGGTACCGTTATATCGGAGCTATACAAAGACCTGGACCTGCATAAACAATTTTCTGTCACAGGCTGTAGTAACTATTAGGAACTTTAAATACGAAATTTCAAACAATTTCCTTGAATATTGTACTTGAAATCGTCAAAATACCGAATATATGGAGGTACTGATATTTAGGGCCTATACGAAGACCTGGACATGCATTGACAATTTTCTGTCATAGACTGTTGTTCCCATTACGAACTCTAAATACTAAATTTGAAACAACTCTAGTGAAAAATGTCGCCAAAATCATCGAAATACCGAATATTGGTAGGTACCGTTATATGGAGGCTATACGAAGACGTAGGCCTGAATATGCTATTTTTGTCATATACTGTAGTACCCATTACGAATTCTAAATACGAAATTTGACACAACTCCGGTGAATAATATCCCTACAATCGTCAAAATATCGAATATCGGGGGGTACCGTTGTATAGGATATGGTGCTTAGTAGGAACTTCTCGTTAGGATTTTTAGACAAATTCATTGAAAAATGCAGCAAAATCCTCAAAATACCGAATATCGGAGGATACCTATATATATGGGGGCTGTACGATATCATAGACCGTTATAGCCCATCTTCGAACTTGACCTATCTGCAGACAAAAAACTGATCTATGCAAAATTCTAGCTTCCTATCATTATTCGTTTTGACTTTAGCGTAATTACAATGGACGGACGAATTGTTCGAATTGGCACTTCCTATCTTAATTCGATTCGACTCTAGCGAGATTAAATCGTCTTAGAATTTTATGTTGATAAAGAATATATATATATATATATACTTTATAGGATCTAAAATAATTTTTCGATTAGTTACAAACAAATGACAAATGGTATAAAAATCAATTTCATTACCATTGACAATTTTCATATTTCGGCGTAGCTCACATATAAAATATTCGTTGTGGTGTATGGCATAGAGCATCGGCTCTTGCCCTTACTAATTTATTTATTACATTGAAAAATTTAATGCGGAAAGCACGGCATACCTTTAGGAGCTTTTATGTGAAATCATAGCTACAGAGGGTATGTATTAAATAAGTTTACATCAGTCGATCTAGTCATGTCCGTTTGTCTGACTGTCTGGCTGGGTGGTACACACGATTTTATCCAAATTTGATATATGGTAATAATTCTACCAAACTTTGATCAAGTTCCGAGATGGGCAATATCGTTGCATTTCTTGTGTTAATTCCCCAACGAAATTAAAAATGTTGAAAATAATCATAATTTTTTTTGAAAGCGGTAGGCGCATTCAATTTGGTTTATTTTGGTTTACTTCGCTTTTTTGGTTATTATACCCTCCACCATAGTATGGAGAGTATATTAAGTGTGTTATTCTGTTTGTAACACCTCGAAATGTACATTTTAGACCCCACAAAGTATATATATTCTTGATCAGCATAAAATTCTATGTCGATTTAGCGATGTCCGTCCGTCTTTCCGTCTGTGGAAATCACTCTAGCTTCCGAACGAATTGCAGTAGATTGACAAATTTTTTCTCTAATGTATATTATGTCTGCAGGACTTTTAGTATTGAAAATGGGCCATGTAGGCCCACGTTTTGGTATAGCCCCAATTTAACGGTTCCTCCTGATATTCGGTATTTTGATGATTTTAGCAATATTATTCACCGGAATTGTTTCAAATTTTGTATTTGAAGTTCGTAATGCGAATTACAGCCTATGACAGAAAACTGTCTGTGCAGATCCACGTCTTCGTATAGGCCCCATATAACGGTACCTCCCAATATTCGGTACTTTGTTGATTTTAGCGACATTATTCACCGGAATTGTTTCAAATTTCGTATTTGAAGTTCGTAATGGATACTACAGCCTATGACAGAAAATTGTCTGTGCAGGTCTACGTCTTCGTATAGACCCCATATAACGGTACCTGCGGATATTCGGCATTTTTATGATTTTAACTACATTATTACCGATTTTTTATAAGTTTCGCATTTGAATATTGTAATGGCGTATGGCCCTAATATAACAGCTAATGAGAATTGCCAAATTCGTCCCAAATGGTGGAGGGTATTCAAAGTTTTTACTTGTTTTTATGTGAAATTTGTACCAGGAATTAAAGTGAACAAGATCGGTCCTCGCCTTTTTGTTCCTCTTATCCATCTATTGCTCTCATAAAAGATCACGCAAAACATAAATAAATATTCTTTTTTAATTTTAAAACATATTCTGCTTACATTTGAGTTATTTTAGATAAAGTTAGGATCTTTGCGTCTATTAGTACATTTGTTTAAACATGGTCATCTCAAATGCTCGAGAATAGATGTTGTGTGTAGGCGGCTCACAGACCAAAAATGTTCAGAAATTACATAAAAATTGGAAATGTTTTTGGTACTAGTAGCTCCAACGAGATTTCTCTCAGATTCTTTCACACAACCAATCTACATTAAATCGCCAAGAAAATTGAATAGACCACACTTTTGTTTCGTATATTTTATTTTGTATATTTTTGTTTATATCTCATATAAAAAATTAATACTTATAAAATCTTATACATAAAGAGCACGCATCACATCTTCCTCGTTTCATTTCTTAATAGTATCTGGAATAGAAAAATCCTCAAGAAGCACAGTGCAATGCTTTTCTTTAGTTAATTAACAATTTACAAATTTTAATTACACGCTTCACTCGCAGACTTGTATGTGTGGTTGCTAGCTCACTACTTTAGAGTTATTTACACATGGCAGCTAATCGAAAGTTAACCTAAGACTAAACAAAAATTAGATCTACTATGTATTCGATAATGTCCCTATTTGTACGAGTTACGAAATAAGGCAAAAACAAACATATGAGAACACACAAAGTACAGATCGAATCAAAATTCTAAAACAAATAAATTAACTTAAATGTATGCACACGAAAATAGTAACATTTGGTATCGAAATCGTCCTAAAATGCCTGACAACTCCTGCGACAGCTACAGTTGAATATCAACACGTTCGAAGTGATGGTCTAATGGTGATGTTGTTCGCGTACGTTTGGACGTACTGGGTTTGTTTTGAACAAAGTAATTATTAAGGAAATAAAATTAAAACAAATTTGTGCCACTTTTGCAGAACAAAAACGGCGGGAGGTGTATTCACAGCTTTTTGGACTCGAGACAAGATCACAATGAAAATTGCATGTTGTCGACGTTGCACTTTCAGTTATCTTCGGTGTTAAGGTTCGATGTTTCCGTTACACCGTCATTCGACAGCTGAGCTTGGTGTACCAGTTTATCCATTTCCTCCTTTTTGGCACGCTTAAAGAATCCAGCTTTGTACATGCCATAGGTTATCAGTGCTAATGCCAACAGGCCACCGATAATGGCCAAAATTATGGCCCATATGGGGGTGCCGTATAGCTGATGCTTCGATATGATGTTGTATTCGATTTTCTTTGATATGGCCAAGGTTGAGCCGGTGGGGTCATTCGTTTTTTGAACATCAACATCGATGACTATCACAAAGAATTCCCACGGTTCAATTAGTATCTCATTCACTTCTTTCAAATCGACGTGATATTTCATGGTCACTGTTATGGGTTTGTTCCGTTTAAAGTCGTACAGAGGAATGACAGCACGAACACATTGTGTCATTTCGGGATCGTTGCAATTAAACACAATGGTTCGATTGACCGGCAAGGTACCCTTCAGGTCTTCACCCAACAATTCAAATGATTTGGAGTGGGCAATGCGTGCATACTGATCCTTATTTGCAGTCAAAGCGGCAGCTTCACGGCGTCTTCTTCTTCGTGCTAAACTGGTTAGTATGGAATCTGGAGAAAAAACCGTAAATTTAGAATTTGTATTTACTAAAAATAATCCAACATCCTACCTCCAAATGATTCTTCTTTGACAGTAAACTCGCCGCTGCTGTGCATTTCTACTGTCCGGAAATGACTGCTTCCGCTTTCGGTAATTACTTTTGTGTTGAATTGAGTCGAGAAACTGGACATTTTCTCAACAGCATTCATCAGAATTTGGGTATTGTTCAAATAAAAACTGACATCCTTGATTTGCGAATCGTACATGGCCTGCATGGTGATGTTGTTCATATCGATAATAGGTATGGTTTTCGTTGTGCCCGGTATTGTATAGGCCACGGGAATATCGAAAACAAGTTGCATAGAACTAACAGTGCTGGGACCGTTGCTTTTGATCTATAAAAAGAGAAAAAAATGGCGATATTAAATATTGCGGCTTGAATAGGTTTTGTACTCCATAATAAGACATAGTTGGCACTCTTTTCGAAAAGAACATGTCAGAATAAAAAAAGAATAAAACTTAGTTTTATGCATTGTACAATAAAAAGGTAAGTCAGAGCTACCAGCTGATTACAATTTGTTTTTTTTTTTTTTTTTTTGTAAGTGTGCCCGACTTCTTCCAGTTTTGTGTATGTATTTAATGTTTTTAAAAAATGAAATCAAAATATTTTCAAAACCAATGATTGGAAGACGCGTACATTGCGGCTCGCGCATTAAAGCTATTAACCAGTTTTCGCATGAAATTGAAAGATTGAACAGTTTGGATTATATTTTTGAAGACAATCCAGACATTTAATTTATTTTTCGAGTTATTTAACTTATTTTAAAAATGAGGAAAATATGAAAATAAAATGAAAACAACTTGTATATAATTTTGAATAAGTCTGACAGGAAGGGGGCATAGCCTCAGGGCTGTATTTTTGTAGTTTTACGAAGCTGTTCTACCTCCTTATTGTACCAACGTACTATTAAAAGGTAAGAAGACTACTTTTAACAACAATTTGACAATAAACTTTGAATTTCCAATCACAATTGTGTTTTTGACAGCAAACTTGTTTGTCAGATGGGCTTACTGACCGACCTTATGTAGGCCTTGGTAAGGTGGTGCTACCATCTGTAAAAAAGTACAATAAAGCTTTTAATTTTTAGTTAAAGGTTTCAAATGAATTTCAAACCAAATTATGCGTAATTCGACTTTTTAAGTACAAAGTAGATATAAATCCTCCTTGCAGATAATGCTGTGGTGGAGTAGAGGCACATTATTTGGTGTTACCCCCCTACTGTTTGCTACTACAAAGGTTTCAGTCATAATGCTTAACAGAATTAGCTGAAACTTAACAAACCTAGTTAGCTAAACGTCGGACTCTATTGACAAGTTGAACACATGCATTTATATGAATATTACCGAAATATATTGAGAGTACGAAAATTTTAAAGTTGAACAATTCCAACATTGACAGAACTTACTTTTTTTGTGTTCATTTCGAAAAACTATTTTTTGGAAACAAAATAAATCCTTTTAATGTCAATGTATTAATTTTTTTTAGAGGCGATCATAAGCAGCTTTTTGAATATCTGACGTCACTCAAAACGTACAACAATGTGGTTCCAACAAATAAAAGCTCAAATTAGTCAATTTGTCCTATTCTCTCAGAAAATCACTGATGTATATAACATCCAAATTAGCGCTATGTATAAGCGATCGAAAGGATTTATGCCGATTATACTGACGTTTAAAATTATGTGTTCTTAGTGAACTTATTGTCACGAAATACACATGTTTAGGAGTTTTAAAGAAGGTGAAATCTGTCAACGCTTTTGTTTTCAATGGCACTTACCTCATAGACGTTTACAATTTCAGCGGAATTAGAGACTTCTTCCAAATTTATGTGCTTAGTTTGCGGAACACTGCAAAGAAAAAAAATAATGAAAATATCTGATCCTTTAACGTTCTATGTTAATACTAACCCCACAGCTGAAATTTCAGTGAATTCCGTCAATGTGATAACATCACTGGCAATATTGTCTCCGGGTGTCTTTTCATTGCCAGTACTAAAGACCTTTGCCATTAGGACCATCTTCTCTCCCGAAATGTTGCTGGTATCGTATATCACTGTTATCGTATCTGAGGTACCATTGGCCATGTGATGGCCACGATTGAGATCACAAAGAAGCATCGAATCCTGGACATTGTGTTTGCAGTTTGAGGGTATTTTGGCAAATAACATTCGATTGGATGAGGTGATGTTGATTTGGGGCAAATAGGCAGTTTCTCCCCTGTTAACGACATCGTACGAGACTTTAAATGTCGGACTACTGCCCAAAATGAAGGTACGGCTAAAAATGGACAAATATGGAAGTTAATATTAAGCAAGATATCAGACATGAATCAAAATCCAAGAAAATACTTACTCTAATCTGGCTGTCATTTGCAAATCTGCCACACAAATGTCTGTATTGCATCCTGTGTTGAAAATTATTTTCTCCGTGGATATTTTGGGTTCGGCGGGATCAACGGCAGCACACGTTGTACAAAATACTTTTGTGAAGAAATTAAAGAAACATGCATAAAGTTAGATATATCTGAAAATCGAATTCACGTTCAAATGCATACTTACCTTCAGAGTCCGGAATTGCGTGCACCAATTGATAGTGTAATTCCAATTCGATCGGCTTGAAGATGTCGCTCACACTGTAACGAACGTTGCAGTCAACCACTTTGCATTGAGTCGTGCTGGTGGCAGTTACATTGAACTGCAGTTCGTTGGTGTTTGTGGAAATAATGCGAACACGTTTGACCTGAGGATCAACCACAAAATTCAATGCCAAGTCCTGTGATTGCACCGTTCGCGAATTGGTGGCAATGCTGTAGCAAATTGTGATTGGGAATGTTGTTTGATCGTGACTTATTTCACGGGTCTGTGAGGAGACTGTGGCCTTAATGCTAACAACGGGGTAGGCGTGATACAGATACACAGTTTCGGCATTGGGGGCACCAATGGCGAAATCATTATAGCCATTGTCATCAACGTCTGATCCTTTTGAGAGGCCATGACCAAACATGGCACTGCCGTAGGTCAGCTGCTCCGTGCCAGGATAATCCAATCGTTGGGTGGGCTGCTCTCGCAGACCGCGTTTACTGCCCATATACACAAATACAGATCCGTTTCCAGCAAATGGCGCTCCCACAGCAATGTCATTGTAACCATCAAAATTAATGTCGCCCAATTTGGTGAGAGTAGTGCCAAATCGGCCTTTTCCATGGAACGGCGACGTGATCAATTTGCGTTCGAAATATAACTGTTAAATAAGTGTGGCATTAAAAATAAATTCAAATCCCAGTTTTTCAAGAGTACAACTTACGTTTCCTTGGTTTATGAACACATAGATGGCGCCATCATCGTAGGAACCCGTGATTGTGTGTTGAGGTGCCGAAACAATAACATCTGTGAGATTATCGCCATTGATGTCTTCGGCAAGAACGGCATAACCAAAATATTCGCCGAATTGTTTTCCCCGGAAGACAAAGTGTTTGGTTATTTTATATTTGCTGGGGTAGTCAAATATATAGGCCTGAAAAAAAAACAATAAATTAATAGGCGACTTTAGAGCAACACCACCAATCAATCTCACCTCTCCTGACTGTTCGTCTGCCTGAGGAGCTGATGCCACATACAAAAGTTTCTGAGGATTGTTTGAATCAAAGTACCCAGAGTCTACGGAGTAACCGAAGTAAGAATCACTGGCCTGATTGAAATTTCTCGGCTTAGGAATATCTGTTTCATAGGACACACGGATTTGTCGTGCAACTCGTGACACACTGCTGGTATCACGTCGACTCAGACTTGGTTCATCGATATATTCCCTTTTGCGGTAACGTATTACCGAACCTCGCCACTTATGGATACCAGGAGCTCCAATCAGGAATTGGTCATTGTCCGCTGTCACGTGGACACTAAGACCCTGTTCAGCCAACATATAATAATAGTTGCGCTCACCGTCATCGTCGACAATTTGGTCTATTTTCGCCCGCAGTGGCGAAATCGAGCGAACGTTTTGTGGTGTGGCCGATAATGTATCGTTTATCCAATAGCATTTGCCATGCATCATGTACTCGAATACCGTGGGTGTTATAAATCTGGGAGCACAGACAATTAGTTTATCCGTATCCTTGGTTCCGCCGTCCATGGCAGCTCCCATCCACTGGAAATCACGTTGTTCTGAGTCATATGTATAATCACTGTCTTCGATGTTAATGTTTCCCCGATTTTCAAACACGAACGGGGCACATTGGGGCTTGCCATTGATGGTGCAGCGATACACAGCACCAGTTTCATTGATTTTTCGCTGTGACTCTAATGTGGACTGGGCACGAGGTGCACCAATAATTAGGCTAAAAATAAAACAAAATCGAAAATATTATTTTTGACGGAATGAATTAAAATTTTGTGCATAATTTATATAAAGAGTCATTAACTATAGTTTTTTTTTTTAAAAAAAGTGACAGGCAAAAGTCATATTTTCATCTCTCGTACAGGGAGAACATTTCTTTCGTTTGACTATTAAGGAGAGTAGAGGTGGAAACTTTAATTGCTCCTATATTTAATAAAATAAACTGCCTAGGCGTTTTAAATATAGCAATGATTTTCTCGGGCGTTTGTCATTCGAATGCGTGGTTGCGGAGACACTGGATAACCTATAGTTAGCCACTATTTACTCGATGCAGTTGAAATTAATGTTGACATAGAAACGAAAATACTTTCAAGTGCTGATAAAGGCACCAAAATAACAATTTAGGAAGCCTATAGCCATTTAAGTATGAACCACGTGCAATCCAAACATGAAAGAATCTAAAAAAATGGTGATGTTTCAGAATTTATACAAAATGTAATTCTATTTCAATATTCCACTATTTATCAGATATTCCTCATGATTATATGAGATTTATCAGCATAAAAAATATTGATTATTATGCTGAAAGTATTAGTCCAGCGTGATCTATGTTTGGGTATAATTTGAGATCCTAGGTCTCTTTACCAGAAAGAGTGAGCCGATGGACAATGAACCTCAGTAAAGCAGTACATAAGAAAGTTACATAAAGTTAAGTGAGAGGGGTCCAAAGCCGCTATTTTTAAGAGGCTGCATCAAAAATATACTTTTACTCAAAGCGACCTTGAGAATGAGGGTACAAAGTAAAAATGTTTTCTTTGGATCTTGCTATAAGTTGTAAACTTAAAAGGCTAATAGTTATTAACTTCATGTAACTTTATTGTGTGCTGCTTTACTGAGGTCTATGACATTGTAGAAAAATCGAGATCGTGTGTTTATAAATTGCGTCAGAAATTAATTGCGTGAAATAACAGTAATATTTCTATAAAATACTAGCTGAACCCGGCGCGATTCGGTACTCCTTTTGCTTTTATATGCATTCAAAATTTTATATGTGAATATTTGTTGCTTTAAAAAAATTAATAAAACAAATTCAAACATTTAAAAACGTAATTATTATAATATTATAATGCGTAAACAAACAAATAACTCGGTCTACCAACCCGTGAACATGCCAGGAGCAGCTGACCATGAGAAAAGCAGGAACATGCCAAATTTAGCCCGCATACACGAAGGGTTTGTCCTTCGGATTTATTAATTTCATAGCAAATGCCAATCGTGCAGGGAACTGTAGTCTTTTGAAGTTGATTGACATTTCTGTTGCAATTAGAGAATTCGAGGTAGCAACATAATTCCCCGTAATATATTTCTAATTTATTTGACAAATTTATTATTGTAACCAAATTCCGCCACACATTCTGAATTTTATTAGAATCGGACATAAATATCGTGTTTGGTACATAACATACATGAGAACGGCCTAAAAATATACATATGGAAGATATGCCCAAACCTCAGCCGATTTCAATATAATTTTGTAAATTTATTTCTGTACCGAATTTAGTCACTCATGCCGAATTTAATTGGAATCGGCCTTACGTTTCGTTTTTGGTGCATCAAGTATGTATGTTCGTTTTAAATTCCGTTACGCATTCCCAATTTAATAGAAATTAGAGATACATATCGTGTTTGGTGCATCAAATACACGAAATCGGTCGAAAATATATAAGGGAGCTTAAACCAAATCGAAACCGATTTCAATATAATTTGGGGAATTTATTTTCTGATCAAATCCTATCATTAATTCCAAATTTCATTAAAGTAGAACATATCATAAAATACGAAATCGGTAGAAAATATATATGGGAGCTAGATCCAAATCTGATTCGATTTCAATATAATTTAACAAATGTATGTTCGTTTTAAATTCCATTACACATTCGAAATTTCATTGCAATGTGGCACACACAGCGTGTTTAATGCATCAAATACATGAAATCGGCCGAATATATATATGAGTGCTATATCCAAATCTTAACCGATTTCAATATTCAATTTGGCAAATTTATTTTTGTTTCAAATTCCGTTACGCATTTCAAATTTGGAGACTGTATCTGTAATCGGCCATATAAAATCTAAATTTTTTGGAGGTACAGGGTTGTCCATATTCGACGGACCCATCTGGCAACGCCATAACTTTTGACAGAAATGTCACATCGCTTAATGACATACCGCGTTTGAAGCGTCAGTCCCAGCAGATTTTTACAATGAACCAACACACGCCACGCGAATTAGTTGAAATTTACATTAAACAGAAGAAGTCAATTGTGAAAACTCAACGTGCTTTTAAAACATTAAAAAATGTGAGAAGTACGCCTTCTAAGAACACCATTAAGCGTTTATACGAAAAATTTTCGACTGGTAAGGCTCTTTCTAATCCCAAGAGGCCATATAAAAGTCGACCAAGGCGATCGGCCGAGAATATCGCTGCCGTACGAGCCAGTGTTGAGAGGTCCCCAAGAACATCCCAAAAAACGCCGTTCTTAGCAGTTGGGCATGGCTCGGTTCACTTTACAACGGATTATTCGCATTGATTTGCATTTGTTCCCGTACAAAATTCAATTGACGCAAAGAATGTTGCCTGCGGACAAGCCTCGTCGATTGGAATGGGCCCAAAGAGTTATGGGTGCGTCAATGTGGGCAACCCTGTACATCCGATTCTGATGCTATATATCCAGTCCCAAGTGGAATATCCATGGCGATGTTGTAGTATACTTAGAAATTTCCTTTTATATATAGATGCACATTTTATGTCCCAATATATTTTGATATGCCCGAAATCAAATGGGCTTTAAACAGAAAGAGACATTAATCTGGGTTTTAATTCAATATTCTCTGACCAGCCTTTTTCATATCTTGATTATTGGGACTCCTTCCGCCGATTTATAGTATATCACTTCTCTTTTAAAGGAAGAGAACGTACAATGACAAATACGATTACACTGAACATATACGTTAACATGTCACTCTAAAGTGGAATTCCAAACCAGTTAAACATTAAACATTATCTATGTTTTCTTTTTCTTGTATTAAGGTAGGTCAATTTCAAATTTGGACTGACCCATATTTACATGTAGCTCCCATATAACGGTTCGGTACGATTTTATCCATCATTTTATACGAAGAGTGCTAATATTTGTGGTTTTTATGGGATATATTTTCTTATTCCAAAACAAATATAATTTTTTTTAATTTGTATCGGCATTAAATGTGCTGTGAGTCAGAGTTTTTGTGGTGTTCTGTTTTTTATAATTAACACTGAATGAAGACCACTGATACGAGTATTTTTTGTTATTACACCGACTTTGAAAATATTTTTTTTTTATTTTGAATATTATATAGTTCGTTTAGGTAATATTTTATATACCTATTTTAAACAAGACTTATATGCAAGAAAACTTGTATATATTTTTGAAACTTCTTCTTTGCCACATATTCGTTCTGTAAATAAGATCGAAAAGGCCAGAGGTAGCCACGAACAATCCGTTTGATTAGAGTCAAAAATTTTGGGAATAATTGCTGTTGCATAGTATTTTTATAATACCATTTGCCGCCAGATGTTGTCATCCATCTTTTTTAAATGGTATGGGCTTTATTATTTGTATGAGATATATATTGGTTTCAATGCTAAATTTAGTTAGTTTCCCAAATTATTAATTGCTACATAAAAAGTGCGCCTGTTTACACGATACTTGAATGAGTAATATCCGCATTGATCTCTGACAAAAGAAGTTACTGAGTAAATCTTACAAGCCCCAGGTAATATGTTTTAAAGAACTCTTTTGAGTCCATATTGCAAGTATGCGACAACTGAATTATTATAATTAACATATTCGGCTCATAATCAGGAAACTAGCGAGACTTATAAATATATATATGTTTTATGACTATTTGGCGGCTCTTTATTTAAATCGGAGCTTAACAAAAGCTTCGGTTATAAAAGAAAACGTCATAAAAATACGTTAAGAAAATTATAACACACGTACACACCAAATTTAGATGCAGTAGAACCCTTTGTTCCGCCTGCTGCGGCTGACCAGTCGGGGGAAATGGGCTTGCAAATGGTGAACACCATAAAGAAGTATGAATGTTTAATTTGTAATTAATATTCCATGCGCATTCAGTCACTGTCTGTCGATATGCTGACCAAAAATGTTTTGGCCATTTGGCATTTTAAAATCTCATTAATATAACAAATTGTAAGGATGTATTAAAAAATACTTAATATTTTCCATAAATAAAAAAATGTTAAAATTGACTGGCATTTAACTGTTAACAATTTGGGTGTGTGCGTGAAGCGGTTCGAGAGGAATTGGGATTGCGTCACAGGCAACATGCATATATACGAAGATCTGTTTCTTCACTCTGACTAATTCTAAGCTGGATAAATCGCTTTAAGGTGACTAATAAGAAATTAGCAAAAAAGACAGGGTGTCATCACTATTCATCATCATCAATGATTCAAACTTACCCCAGCTTTCTTAGGCTCAGCGTAAAACCAAAATATGAGGACTCATATTTTGGAATAAATGTGGGCAATTGTGGTTCCCGAATGACGGCATTGGGTATCGGCGACAAATTATAGCACTCCGATACACTGATAATATTACACAAAATCAGTGTTAGAAACACGCTCAGGGGGCCAATTAAGCGTAACCGGTAACATGTCAGCGTTAACATTTTCAATTTCTTCATTGGCTTGTTTTTTTGTGATTTTAAATGTTTTATGACACAATTGACACACACACACGCACGCGGACCTAACGTAATAGGCGTTGTTACAACCACGAATTGTTTTTCGCTTTCTTCTTCTTTTTCTCCTTCTTGCGTTTTATCGATTCCAACCGTGAGCCAAGGAGCGATTTAGGTTCTTGGCAACCCAACCCATGAAAAGCAGAAATCAAACTAAAGATGCTGGACTCAATGCTTGGAATGGTCAACCGA